TGGGGCTCAACCACGGGGGCATCACAGCCCAGCCTGTGGTTGTGACAGGTGTGACCTGGAGCCGCAATCAGAAGGCCTTGGGAGAGGTATCACATACTCCCATTGGAGGTCGAGACCTCAGCAGAGAAGAGCCAAGGTGAAGTGCAATGAGTTGGCTGGAATACGTGGGCCTGATGCAGCCAGCAGGGCTCCTGGCTAGGGGCTGCAAGCACCTCTCAAGAACTGCCAAGAATTCTGATAGACTCACATTCCCCCCACCCCCACCCCCAGGCAGAGAGAGGCAAGCCTCTGGCAGGGAATGGCGGGTAGTGGGGTGCCAACACAGAGTGAGGAAGGGGCCTGGCCAGCAACCCCTCCTGTACTTGGTCAAGTGCCTCCAATAAGGAGACTGCCCTTTAACAAGAATGAGGCCTCCCATTCTCTGGAGCTTACCAAGCCTCAAGTGCCCAGGAGGCTGCAGATGCTCCCATGTGGACATGCCAAGGACAGCTAGCGCATCTGGCCCGGTTCATCAGCTCTGGGGGGCAGGAACCTGAAGACTGGACACTGGACACTGCCAACCGTCTCTGTGATTTCCAGTGGAATGAGAAATGGGTGCTTTTAATAACCAGGAAAGACGAGCTGGACCAAGCACTGTAAAGTCACCATAAAACTGGCCTCATTTGCTTCCAAGGTGACAAAGTCACAGCGGGTGGGACAGAAGAGGTGCCCTCAGGCCCTCCCATGTGCTGGCACCCATGCCACGCAAGGGGCTTCACCACCCCACTGGCTCTTACGACTACCTGTGAGGAAGGCGTTTTCTCATCTTTTAAAAGATTTACTTTTGGGGGGGCCAGCGCTGTGGCGTAGCAGATAAAGCTGCCACCTTCAGTGCCGGCATCCCATATAGGCTCCAGTTCAAGTCTCAGCTGCTCCTCTTCTGATCCAGCTCTCTGCTGTGGCCTGGGAAAGCAGTAGAAGATGGCCGGCGCCGCGGCTCAATAGGCTAATCCTCCGCCTAGCGGCGCCGGCACACCGGGTTCTAGTCCCGGTCGGGGCGCCGGATTCTGTCCCGGTTGCCCCTCTTCCAGGCCAGCCCTCTGCTGTGGCCAGGGAGTGCAGTGGAGGATGGCCCAGGTGCTTGGGCCCTGCACCCCATGGGAGACCAGGAAAAGCACCTGGCTCCTGGCTCCTGCCATCGGATCAGCGCGGTGCGCCGGCCGCAGCGCGCCGGCCGCGGCGGCCATTGGAGGGTGAACCAACGGCAAAGGAAGACCTTTCTCTCTGTCTCTCTCTCTCACTGTCCACTCTGCCGTGTCAAAAAAAAAGAATAAAACAAAAAAAGCAGTAGAAGATGGCCCAAGTCCTTGTGTCCCTGCACCCGTGTGGGAGACCTGGAGGAAGCTCCTGGCTCCTGGTTTCTGGCTCAGCTCTGGCTGTTGCGACCATCGGCAGAGTGAACCAGCGGATGGAAGACTCTTTCTCTTTCTCTGCAACTCCGCTGACCTTCAAATCAATCAATCAATAAATCTTTTAAAAATTTTTGTTATTTATTTATTATCTAATAGAGTGAGAGAGAGGGAGAGCCAGAGAGCTTCCATCTGCTTGTTCACTCCTCAAAAGGCCACAACAGCCAAGTCTGGCCCAGGCTGAAGCCAGGAGCCTGGAACACCATCCAGGTCTCCACATGAGTGCAGGGGCCCAAGCACTTGGGCCATCTTCCACTGCCTTCCTAGGAGCATTGGCAGGAAGCCAAATCAGAAGTGGAGCAGCCAGGACGAGCGCCAGCCCAGTGGTATGGGGTGCCGGCATTGCAAGTGATGGCTTCACACAGTTTTCCTGTTTCTTCCATGAAGACACTGAGCCACAGAGCTGTCACCTGCCGCCAGCCACATGGCACTTGGCAGGACAGGATCTGAACAGACGTTATCTGACTCTAGCCTGGGTAAACTGCACTCTATTTTACCAATTCGTCTCAAAGAGGGCTTTTCTTTAGTGTTTGTTCTTTAAAATAAAGGAGTCAGCATTAAGTGGACGAGGGTGTCTTGCAGAAGCGGGGTGAGATGTGCAGAGTCCACTCGGGTGGGAACTAAAAGGAAGATTTCACCATTGTTAAGGAGCAGAATGGGCCATCAAAGAAGGAGGTACCTTTCTCTGAAGGGAGCAGAGAACTTCCACCTTGACTATGGCCTTGTCTAAATAAGGTTGGAGTTTGTGAACTCAAGAGGCTTCCATAGCCTTGGCAGCTCATGACAAGAGCCTAGGGTGATTGCTGACGTCATAAAGAAGAGTGTCAATTGTTTAATCAACAGGAGTCACTGTGCACCTGCTCCCCATGTAGGACCTCTGTCCTTAATGTGTTGTACTATGTGAATTAATGGTAGAACTAGTATTCAAGCAGTACTTTATACTTTGTGTGTCTGTGTGGGTGCAAACTGTTAAAATCTTTTAATTAGTATATACTAAGTTGATCTTCTGTATATAAAGATAATTGAAAATGAATCTTAATGAAGAATGGGATGGGAGAGGGAGTAGGAGATGGGATGGTTTGTGGGTGGGAAGGTGGTTATGGGGGGAAAACCGCTATAATCTAAAAATTTTGAAATTTATATTTATTAAATAAAAATTTTCTAAAAAAAAAAAAAAAAGAAGCCGGCGCCGCGGCTCACTAGGCTAATCCTCGGCCTTGCGGCGCCAGCACACTGGGTTCTAGTCCCGGTCGGGGCGCCGGATTCTGTCCCGGTGGCCCCTCTTCCAGGCCAGCTCTCTGCTGTGGCCAGGGAGTGCAGTGGAGGATGGCCCAAGTGCTTGGGCTCTGCACCCCATGGGAGACCAGGATAAGTACCTGGCTCCTGCCATCGGATCAGCGCGGTGGGCCGGCCGCAGCAGGCTGGCCGCAGCGGCTATTGGAGGGTGAACCAAGGGCAAAGGAAGACCTTTCTCTCTGTCTCTCTCTCTCACTGTCCACTCTGCCTGTCAAAAAATAAAAAAATTAAAAAAAAAATTAAAAAAAAAAAAAGAGCTCAGCTGGAGCCGGCAGTGTGGCACGCATGTGGCAAACGGCCCTCATTCGGGTCCTGGTTACCCAGGCCATGCCTTAGGAAGACTGTCAGCTCCTAGAAGACAGCCAAGAATTTAAAGAGATGAAGCAATGTTCAGGATTAAACGTGCAAAAATCTATCTCTCACTAGAAATGCAGTAACTGAAAAATTATCATCGCCAACTCAGAGCCAAAACGGCGAAGTGAGAATCATACCTGCCTCCACGTAGTCAGCATCCAAAGGTTACACTGTTAACGAATCCTTCAAGAAACGTTTTCACTAAAGGAGACTCCAGATTTTCCATCTTTGTAAAAACGAAAATAAAACTGTAAAACGCGACATATGAGCTACTGAGCGTGTCGACTCATACTCATTCCAAAGGTTGCTAACACATGGGGCGGAACTAAGGCTCGCGAGGGCCCTGCTGCTTTGTCACCAGGGGCTGGGCAAGCCCATCGGCTCACACACTCTGAGCCGGGGCTCTGGGCATTGGCCGACTCCTCCCTCGCCGCGGTGGAGGGTTGTGGGAGAGGAGCAGCAGCAGGCTATAAAAAGCTTTATGCTTTATTTCCTTCTAAGGCTTCCTGAGTCACTGCTCCAGCCCCCAGTGCCCAGCAAGGTTCAGCTCAAATCGGAAATGTGTGTATACGGTTTCCTCTAAACCCAGATGATGTCACTTGGACCCAGTCTCTTCCAGGCCCAGGGGGAGCTGCCTGTTTCCGTCCTGGGAGGGGAGATGTCACTTAAATGTTCGTTGCCTGTGACCTAGGTTCCACGGTTACATCACAGTCTTCAAAGCGAGCCTAAGCCTCCGCGCCACCCCCACAGGGAGCTGCTAAGAACTCAAGAAGTCCCGTTTGTCATCTCAAAGGACACAGGGCTCCTACACGACTTTGCCTCCCACACTGTAGCAGCTGAAACAACAGGCGTCGCCAAATCAGGTGGGCCAGAATCCTAGAAAGCCACAGGCCGACAGCACCCCATCCGGGAATCACTATTCTACCATGGGAAGCAGCGAGGCCCGGACAAGGAAGGACCCTGCCCAAGGGCCCAGAGCACGGTCCCATGGTGCTGTCCCTGTATACAGCAGGAGCTGACTAAATGCCCCCTGCAGGCGTGTCTCAAGTGTCCTGGCCGACAACACACACAACTTTGCCCCAAGATTTCCCCCTTTTCAGTCCATTTCTCTGCAGAGGAAGAGGAAACCTTGGTGCTGACAGAAGCCCACTCCACTTCCCCCACTCGCCCTCTTCTTGCCATGGGCCAGCGCAGGGGCTTCTGCCATTTAAAATTACCAGAACACAGTTTTTTTTACACAAGTCCCAGAGACTTGGATTAACATTAAGGTTAAAGGGAAAGGAATCTTTTCATAGCAGATTGTCTGCATAAAGCAAGCAGGGGATACATTAGTGGTCCCAGAGGCTGGGTTACAATGCCAGCTGTAGCCCCCAAAGCACCTCCACTCCCGAGGCAGGCGTTTGGCCCGCAGTTAAGACACCACATTCCGTTATCAGAGGGCCTGGCGGAGTCTCACCTCGGCTTCCAGTCCCAGCTTCCTGCACTGCACACTCCGGGAGGCGCAGCTGATGGCTCAAGCACCTACGTCCCCGCCGCCCACACGGGAGAACCAGATTGAGTTCCAGGCTCCTATCTTGAGCCTGGCTCAGCCCTGGCTGTTGCCAGCATTGGGGGAGTAAATTAGCAGATGGAGGATCTCTGTCTCCTTCTCCACCTCCCCCACCCCAACCCTGTTTTTAAAATAAAAACAAAACACGAAACACAGATCTGAAAAGAATACCCAGCTTAAGCCACCACAGGGCTGCAGCGGAGGTGCCCGTGCTACGCCTGGTCTCTCGCTCTTGCCTCTGGAACCGCGGCCCAGGCAGAGCCTGGTGGAGCAGGCAAGGGTACGGGGACGCTGCTCACACAGCACAAGCGACCGAGAGCTATGCGAGCTAAAAACCTACACGGTTCGCAGTGTAGAGATGAAAGGCTGCAGAAATGTTTATTGAATACAGTGCCAGGTTTATAAATAAAACTTATTTACAATTTCCATAGAGTTGGTCCCCCAGCAGAGAGGTGGTTAAATCTCCAGACAGTTTACCGCGAGATTTACAGACACGTTCAAGTGCATCCCTTTTCCAAATCGCCACGCTGCACAGCAACTTCAGTCACAAAAGAACCACCACCATCTTTGCTACAGAAGTGTTTAATGAACATTGCCACAGATTTGCAGAAAGCACACACACTCAGCCAATGCCGCCTGCTTACTCCAGGGGGTACAGACAGCAAAGGACTTCTGTCTCCTACGGGACAGCTCCAAGGGGTTGGAAGAGAAGATAGTTCACTGCCAGCCAAAGGGTAGGTTTAAGACACGTTAGTGGGAACCTAGTCACTGCCCAGAAGGATAAATGGATTGAGGATACACAATAAATAATTCAAATGTGTAAAATAATTGAAGGAAGAGTAGACTTGACCAAATTTACATTCTTTGTTCCGGAAGAAGCGGAAGGGCTCATCATATGCTATTCCTCTGATGTGACAGCAGCGCTAGGCCTACTGGACAGCTGTTCATCACGATATTGTTACAAGTACAGTCACACATGCATTTATAAAGAGAATATAAAAATATGTACAATAGCTCATTTCCAATGTGTTTCAAGTTGCCGAAAGACACCAATTTAAAGTGTGCAAAAATTTGTCAAAAAATCAGAAAAAGCCTGCCCTGGCAACAGTGCTTCATCAAAAGCCCATCTGAAGAGTTGAGATCCGCTTGCCTTAACGCCTACCCCAGACAGATGGAGAGCAAAACTAGCAGAGGGTTTGCCAAGTACTCAGCAGTTTCTTACGGCAAGTCTCAGGCTAAAGCAGGATGCCAGTTAAAACTAGGCGCTTTCTATATATAAATATATGTATATATGTATAGAGTGGTTGGAAGTCCGGGCAGGAGTTCACAGCGAGGTGCGAACCAGCTTCGCAGTCCTGCCACGACACCCAGCTATCTCCTTGAGGGCCCAGACCCACGCAAGCCGCCAATGCCCGACCCTGCGGGGCTGGCTGTCCCCTCGAAGGGCACAGCGCCGCACCGGACGCTGCCTCACTCCTGCTCCACGCTGGAACTCGGCACTCCTGGGGCACGGGAGTAGGGCTTTCAGTCCCCACAACAACCCTCTTTCAAAGGCTTAAGTCTTAAGACAGGCTGTGGACCCATAAAATGGAGTTCACCCAGCTTCTAGAAAGACTCGGCAAGAGGTTAGAAGGCTGAGTGCTGAAAAACCAGTCACATCACCCACTACACTCCTTTGAAAGGACAAGCAGCCATGTGACCCCCACCCTCACTCAAGCCAGAAGCCCGCAGTACTCCCCAGTTCTCCAGGAGAAACGCCAGGGTGTTCCTGGGTGCTCCGTGCCCAGTCAGGGAAGCTGCAGAAGCCCGCCTAGCCCTGGGCATCAACTTCTCCTCTGCCCACCACCGTGGCCCAGCGCTACAGCACGGGCACTTGGGTAACGGGTCCTCTCCACCGCTCGGACCTGTTCCTCCGGCAGAGGATCTGACAAGCTGCAAAACGCCGGAGGACAGGGAGTAGGAGAGGGAGGAGCAGCCCAGGGTCTCCAGAACCAGCCCCGTCTCCAGAACACACCCATTCGGCCACGGAGAGCTGCTCACTGCCACACTGGCAGCCCGGCCCCCAGCAAATTAAAGCCACCCACACATACCAACGCACAACCCGCAAGTCCTGGCTGAGATACAACCAGTTAACACCTGAAAAAGAAAAAGCACAGCCAGCTTCCATCTCAACAGCGAGCAGTTTCTTAAGGGGGCTTTTTCAACAGGCCAATCCCACCGCAAGGAGGACCAGCATGCCTGCTTTGGGTTGCAGGTTTATAATTAGACACAAATTCACCCTGGGCTGCAGTGACTCTCACGCCAGAGGCTAGCATTAGTTTTTTTTTTTTTTTTTTTGGGGGGGGGGGGGACGCAAAGCGGTCAACTTTTAAGAAAAAGGTTTAAAAAGAGGCTGAGTATTACCACACATCAGAAGCCAGCAATCAGAGGTGACCGGTGGTGTCTTTTAGGCATTTAGACTGGCCTAGAAGTTGACTACTGCTTCCATCACACACAGCAGAGGATTAGAGGATTCAATTACACACACACTAAATCATGTCTCCTGCAGATGGTCTCGGGGAGTTACGTAAAACAGGTACTCGGCAGGATGCCCGAGAGCCCCGAAACGTGTGCTGGAAGGAAGGCGGCTGCCCTGCGGGGCGAGCTCCAGCTCAACAGGCCTGTGGTTTGCTTCTCCCCCTCTCCCATGGCGAAAGTGCGTGCAGGGAGCGACTGCTGTCTGCTGTTTTATAGGCAAGGTCTTGGGCTCAGAGGTCAGCGCCAGGATCCTGGGAGAGAGGGGAGGAAACCCAAGGCAGGCTGGGGACGGAGCTCAGATAGAGGCTGGCCTCGTCCCCATTCAACCTCAGCTTTACAAAGCATTTAACACCACTTTAAGTTAATGGTCTTTTTATTGGAAAAAAAAAAAAAAAAGGACTAGCATTTACAACTTGGAATGGACGTAATCGTAGTTTCTTGAACAGCCACGTTGATGGTTGTGCTGGAGTCCACAGCCACAGCCTACTCTGCCGGCTCCAAGTCATGCTGCAGGTTTTTAAAACAGAGAGTCCAGAGATGCTCCCTTGGGAAAAGTTTCTCATTAAAAATTTGCGTGAATGGTAACAGCCCGGCAGACGCTAAGCCAGCGCAGGCGGGCGTGCCACGAGGCTGCGTGGCTGTCACCGTGGGCCGGAGCACAGAGGGACAGGAGGACCATCCTGTAGTGGGCCTACATCTCAACAGCTCACCCCTCAACCGTCTCACTGCACGGCGTCCTGACGTAAAGCAATTTTAAACGCATTTGTTTTCAGGAAACCAGCTATTTATCCTAACAAATTGAACGAGAACCCATCTGGGTGAGTTTTGAATTTGTTGGTTTTTTTTCTTTCATTTTTTGGTTTTGATACAAACGCCTGACTGTACTGTCATCAGGCCGCATGCATGACGGACTGGCCAGCCCACACGCGTGTTAGGATCATCAGCAATGGAACCTGAAGGAGTCCACTAAGTGCTTCCTTATCGTTAAGGTAGTACAAGTATGTATAGTGTAAAACGGATGTGTAGCTTGATCGTTAGGGACAGGACCACCAACCAATACATGCAGATTGTGTGTGTGTGTGTGGACAGAAGGTATTTTTGACATTCAGTTTTGCTATATAGAAACAGAATGAATAAATGAACTTTTTTCTTTTTTTTTTTTTTTTTGCAAGAGGTAAGTAAAAGATTCAATTTGATTCTTCTAGAGGGGGAAAAGGAGTTGAAAGCAGGTCTTCATTTTGCGGTCATCATCTGTACGAATTCTGAAAAGACAAATAATCATAACTTGTGGTTATCTTCAGGAAAGCAGCTTCATGGAGTGCAGCGTTTGTCCTGTGTGCGGCGACACCGGCGCGGCAAGCAGAGCGGCTCTCGCGCCTCGGGTCCTGCTGGCCGCGCCCGGGCACCAGGGACACCGACGGACGCCTTACCTTCGTAGTTGACTTGTCCGTCTCCGTCGATATCTGCTTCTCTGATCATTTCATCTACTTCTTCATCTGTGAGCTTTTCCCCCAAGTTTGTCATGACGTGGCGCAGTTCCGCCGCACTGATATAGCCGTTTCCATCCTGTGAACATGCAGCGCCGGTTACTGGTGTGGCTGATAGTCCCGGGGGCGGGGAGGGCAAGGAGGTCCCTGACTTTAATTAGGCGCCGTCAAGGGCCTGCCAACTCTGCTCACGGCCACGACTCTGCCACTTCCAGCTCCCACCCTCTACCTGCTGCAGACACGCAGTTGGCTACCGCAGAAGACACAGGGAGTGCTCACCAGCCAACAGAAGCCAAAGGTTAGCAACCAAACCTCCCGTGCACTACTGCACCTCCCCTGGCTGGACAGTCACCACCAAGTGAGGACGGCTGACGGTGAGACCAGAGACTGTGCAGAGCGAGAGCCCAAGCACCACTCTCAGGGGCCCGCGCCACGCCGGGCAGGGTTACCTTGTCAAAGACTCGGAATGCTTCACGGATCTCCTCTTCACTATCTGTGTCCTTCATTTTCCTAGCCATCATAGTCAGAAATTCTGGGAAGTCAATGGTGCCATTACCTCAAATCAAAGAACAGAAAGCTCATGTAAGATAAGCACTCCATGGGCGCTGCTCCGGAGGGAACGGCTAAGCACGGGCTAGCACAAACTATCTCATTAGCATCCACCGTCCGCAGGTCTGAAATGCTCAAGTACTCCACAGGGCAAAGCCACGGGATTCAAAGCCCGCAGCAGCGCCCGGGAGAACACTGAAAGCCGCAAAATCACGCACAGCTCCAGTTCACGACCAGCGGAGGGGGCTGTGCAGCTCAGAGCCGGCTGCGGACTGACCGCCTCCACTCCCCGGCTGGGACTTCACTCCCACTAGGAAAGCACCTCATGGCTTAAGGGCTATGAGGGGGGAAGCGTCTTCTCTGCTCTGCCAGGAGCCACAGACTTCTAGGAGACACTTTCTCAGCCATACCACGTTCAAGTCACTGGATCACTTTCTCTGCACCCCACCCCCCACTCAGGCACTTCCCGACGAGTGAAGTCAGCTTAGCCGTGGGCATGTAGGAATCCGTTATGACCAGTGTCCCAAACAGCAACTCAAACACAAACACCCCCAAGTCTCCAGATGAACATGAATTAAGTGGACATAAAATTAGAAAGAAAAAAAAAGCCTGAAGTTAACTCATTTCCACTAGTGGCTTTAAAACCAAATAATTCAGAGAGCTTTCTAAGTTTTTTGAGTGCCCCAAATTTTACAGCATTGCTGGTGTTTGTACAAGACCAAACAAACCACTTCAAGCGTCCTCTCAACCGTGCAGAAAAGGGCAAACACAGAACCTGCAGCCCGGCCCCCTGGCCCCTGCACAGGCTGCCCAAGCCCAACTTCCCAGGAGGTACCCCACGTTCCCATCCCAAACAGCGCTCATCCTCTTGGGAGTCAAAACTCAGAATACTATGGACAACTTTTTTTCCAAAGCTCCATTAAGAATGAAAACCATCTTCAGAAGTAACACGAATGGGCCGAGAGCTTTGTCAAGGGGCTGCATCAGGGGCCTGGCTTCCAAGCATTTGGGACCAGGCCAGCAGGATGCTGTGTTCACTTTACAGCGCCATGTTTTTAAAACTGGCTCCTGTCACGTCAGTCATCTAGGAGGTAGAGGGGCTAGATCCAAACTGCTGCCTCTTAGCTCATTTGAAAGGAAATGTGTACGCTTTATAAAGCAACAGAGTGTATTAAGGCATGTTTCAGTTACAAAAATGTGTTTTGGGGTGCGGACACCTGGACACTGTTTACAGCCGGGAGTGAGAGGACTGCAGCTCCTTCTGGCTCGGCGGCCCACACAGCTTCCCCTGGTCTCGGGTTCTGTAGACCCAGGCTCTATAGACAGTTGCCAGGTGCCAAGCCTCGCGCGACCGCCTTCAGCTAACACCCATGGCGTCCGCTGCGCTCAGCTCTATTAACGGCTGCAAGGGCTTGTCACCCACTGCCCCGCCCCTGGGGCTTCTCCTTAGAGACAGGAGCTTCTAAAAAGCAGGCTGTGTTGGGCTCTTTACTTCTACTTCCCCCACAGGGAACTCAGCACACTCATGGGCCAGGTGATGAAAGGGCTGAGCGGTGGGTCACGGCAAGTCGGCAAAGAACAATACAGGGACCCGATCCAGGAAACGTTCTGGACGGTGAGCAGGGCGAGAGGCAGGCCCACAATCTCCTGTTTCAATCTCAATGGCAGAAAGCATCTTCGCCCGTCTGCTCCACGAGACCTGAAAGGCAACCCTGGGACGCGTCTGAACTCGAATGACACGGCTCTGGCGCTCATTACCGTCAGCGTCCACTTCGTTGATCATGTCCTGCAGCTCCGCCTCTGTCGGGTTCTGACCCAGTGACCGCATGACAGTTCCAAGTTCCTTCGTTGTGATGGTGCCATCACCATCTTTATCGAATAAGGAGAAAGCCTCCTTGAATTCTGGAAAGAAACGTTGGCCCTTTAGAGCGAGTGTCTTTACCCAGCCAGCCACCACGCACACGCCCCCGAGGCTTCCCAGAGGAGACCAAGCAGGTTATGCAAGTGACCAGCAACCACATACTGAAGCAGACACCACAGGGTCCTGTCAGCCACGCCAAGTAAGGCAACGGCTGCTCCCGGAAACCATGTCCATGAAGCTGCAAGACCCTCGGGTTTTTCAACACTAAGCTTGAATGGGCTTCCAATCCGTCACGAGAAGACCCGCTGGCATGTTTCCTGTTAAATTTCTGTAGCCCCAAGAACCCTGGTTTCACAGCACCACGACAAGGTTCCTGGAAACGTGGTGCGTTTCCCACACAGCCAGCTTGCGCTCTCCACACCACCTCCACTGCATCCCAGAAGCACCCCCACCTCATGACAAGTCCTCCGGGAAGATTAAAGAGCTAAAACCTGAACGGATGCGACTGCCCTCCAGTAATTCCAGGGATGCTCCCTCTTGTCTCGGGACAGCAAGCCCCAAAAGCTGTCGAGTGGCCTCAGAGCTGTGCACGTCTGAGAGCTGCAGGCTCAGGGCGATCTCATTACAGGCAAAGCTCTGCGTGTCGTGACACACGCGACGACTCCCGAGTGGGGCAGGCAGGAACATCCCCATTCCATTCCCCTCACTTTAGCTCCACTCTACTGTCAAAGAGTAATGCTGACCGAAATGTTCCTGCCGTTTCCATTTAAATCAATTCTTAAAAAACGGCTCAGATGTCGATGGGAGGGGACAGGAGTCCCCAGAACTGAGCCGGTGCCCTGTTCTGGCTTTCCTGGGGACTCCCCAGAGACGCCAACTCACCAGCAATCTGTTCTTCGGTCAGTTGATCAGCCTAGAGAAAGAAAAGGTTATCATTAAATCCATGACAGCCAGAAGCAGTCAGTATCACCTTCCCAGGAGTTTTAATATTGTGTTGAAATCCCTGGTTTGAGACCATCAATGCTCTCAGCAATGACAGCCATTAAAGGAAGCGCTCTGTGCCGCTTCGACAACAAGGATGGAAAGTGACAACATCTGCTCTCCACTGGGTCCAACGCCTAGCGCACACTCCGGGCTTCCCTGGGGACGAGGATCAGCGCACAACGTGAAAAGGGCGCCTCTAGCGGCGGCCGGCGGCAGTGCACAGCGGGCCCCGAGAAGGACGAGCGCCACCTACCGCGCCACCAGCTGCCATCCAAGGGGGACCCAGCCCAGCCCAGCCCAGCCCAGCGCACGGCCACTGCGGCCACTGCTGCCGGCTGGCGCGGGACCCTGTCCAGCTGCTGGAGTACCCTGCGCAGTGCTCCGGGCCTTCGGAAACCTCCAAACTGGAAGGTTGTTACGTAATGGCATTGGGTTGGATTAAAAGGCTTTTCTACCCCATTTTATGAGAAATAATTAAATGGGGGGAAAAAACCAACAACGCAGAAATGGGCTACCCCACCGACTTCATGTCCACGTAATGCATGCTTTCCAATCGTTTAAACACGCAGCCATTTGTTAAAAGCCTACTGCTCGCAACGGCTAATGCCCTTGCACAAATTACCCCCCGACTCAGAAGCCAGAAAAAGACTGGAACCACCTCAGCGGCACCGTGCGAATCAGGTGCACGGGGAAGCGCTCGAGCGCCCGGCCGCAGCGCGCACGGCCGGCATCCCCGCCCGAAGAAGGCAGGAGAGCCGCTCCCGAGCGCACCCGCCACGCGCGGGGCCGCGAATCTCTGCTCCAACAGAACCCGGGCCTGCGGGTCCGCGGCAGAGCACAGCCAGCGCGTCTGCATGGACATACATATTTTAATACAGGATGCCTCGCGAAGCCAGTTACCAAGTCAGCCCTGAAGAAGGCTGAGGCGTTGGGTTTATCCTCGCAAACGCAAACTTTCCCGGCTCCCGGATACCCGCTCGGGGGTGGGGCGGCTGGTTTATTTTATTTTTTTGCGAATTGCAAGCAGGTCTTCCTCTTTCCCCGATCTCTCAAGCCTGAATCTCCTTTCAGATCGCATGTAGACGGCGCGCTGGTTTATGTAACGTCAGGGCACCGCCTAGCTCGCAGCACTCTGTCACCTCGCCGGCCACGGGGTGGACGCGTCCGGAACCCGGCCTGCCACGCCGGACAACGCTGCCCGCCCAGGGGCCCAGGGCGCCCTGCAACACACGCCCCGCGGGGCGCACGGCCGCCTGTGGCCGTGCAGGGGCCGCGCAGACGTGCAGACCCCGCTCCCCGCCCCGCACCTCCCACCCGCGTCTGCTCCCCGGCCCGCCCGCCCCCGCCGCCTCCCGCAGCAGAAACTTTGCGTCTCTCCTGGAAACCGAGCCGCGCGCCAGCTCCCGCCTCCCCCGCCCGCCCCAATTAGCGCGCGCCCCGCGCCTCCCGCGGGAAGGGGCCCCGCACGCCCGGGCCGCGGCTGCCCCGCGCAGGGGGCCGCACGAGCGCCCGCCGCCCCGCAGGCCCCGCCCGGGCGCAAGGGGCCGGCCTGCGGCTTCCGCCCCTCGCCCCGCGCCTTCCTGCCCCCACCCCACCCTTCCCCGGCTCCTTCCTTCCCAGCCCACGCCCGCGCCGCGCGCCCCGGCAGGACGCAGCGCACCGCCAGGGGAGGACGCCCCCCGGCAGGACGCAGGGCACCGCCGCCGGAGGAGGACGCCCCCCGCCCCGCGCGCCCCGGCCCATTCATTCTCCGCCGCCGCCCTCGCGCCCGGGGCGGGGCGGGAGGGGCAGCACCGGGGGGCGTCCGGCGTCCGGCCCCGCCCGGCTCCCCCGCCCCCGGGGCCCGGGCGCAGTGCTGCAGGCAGCCCGGGTGCGGCGCGCTGGGTGCAGTGGGTGCGGGGCTGCGGGGGGGATGCGGAAGGCCCCGAGGCAGCGGTGCCCGCAGCCACGGCCCGCACGCAGCTCCCCGCCAAGTTCAAGGGGGGGGGTGGGGACCCGTTTAATGAGGACCCCCGGCGGAGGACGCCAAGACGCAAACGCGAAACGCATCGTCTCCTCACCGCAGCTGCTGCGTAACGCCCGGAAAGGAGGTGTGGGGGGAGGGACCCAACCAAGGGGGCAAAAGACCAAAACTGAACATGCGGGGAGACCTCGGGCAGCCGCTACGCCGGCCGGGTGCCACCGCCGACCTTACCATGGCGCGGGCGAAGGGAGCGCGATCGGAGGGAGCGAGGCTGGCTGCACCCGCGCAGGGGCTGTGACGGCGAGGGGGCCTCCCGCTGCTGCTGCCGCCGCCGCCGCCGCTGAGGAGCCGAGTGCGCTCCGCGCTGTGCCGCCGCCGCCGCCTGCGCCGCCGCCCGACTGCGAGTAACGGCGCCGCGTCCACGAGCCTCCCAGCGCCACTGCCGGAGCGCGAGCCGGCGCCCCGCCGTATATATATAAGGCACGCCGTATCCCTCCGCCGCGGCGGGGCCCGCCTGGCGCACGGCGGCGCTGCGGCGGCCGGGCCTCGCGCGCCGGCCCCGCCCCCAGGCCCGCCCGGCCTCCCGCCGCCCCCTGCGCGCGCTCCGCGGCGGGCCCAGCCCGCGCCCGGGCCCGGGAAGGCGGCGGGGGGCGGGGGCGCGGGGTCCTGAGGGGACTCGCCTCCGCGGCTGGACCACCCCGAGCCCCTCACATGGCCGGACCTGGAGGAGGTGGCGGCTCCGGGAGTCGGAAGCGTGCGCCCCGCGGCCCCTGCCCCACCCTTCCTGTGCGACCCCTCCCACCTCAGCATGGCCAGCGTCCCCGAGGGTCGCCCCTCTGTCTGGGCTCCTCAGGGTCCGCTTCCAGTTCGGGGAGGTCAGGGGGCTGGCTGCGGTGCGGGCGGCTGCGGGGGGTGGGGGCAGAGGAAGGGTCCGCACACCCTCAGCTGCCGAGCGGAGAGGGGTCTGTCGGGGGGCATTGGCGCCGGTCCTCGTGGGAGAAATTGGTCGGCGTTTCGCTTTTCAGGTTTTTGAGAAATAGCTGAGGAAGATGGTCATTTACGCTCGATTGGTAAATCTGCGTCGTGCGCATATGCTTAGCAAATTGTGGGTTTTTTTTTTTTAACGTTTCCACCGGATTTTTAGAGGATGTCGGGGGTATCTCTCCCCTACCGTCTCGTCCTCATTTTCCTCTGGAAAATACCACTCGTCCAGGCTCCGGTCTTACTAAAGTGAATGTACCTGTGCGGCTACTGTGAGGCCTTACCACTCATGCTTTAAATTCTTCACACTTTTCCTGGTGGGAGAGGGATCCGAATCTTTTTATTCATAAATCCATAGACCGAAAAAAGAATACTTAGGACGCCCCTAGATTACAGCCGGACCGCAGGCCGATTTGTGGAACTAGACTTGAGTATTAACCTGCAGTCTCGATGCTACTGCTTTTAAAAGAATCATCTTCGTTAAAATCAGTTTGCTGGGGCCATTTTTCTGGAAACCAGACGAAGGGCACTCCAGTCGTGAAGTCGAAGCCCAGGGCTCCTGGAAACCTGGGCGACATGCTGCCGGTTCTCCTGCCAAGGCAGACCACAGAATTTGATCTTTGTTTACAGGGCCCGGGCAACCGCAGCGGGTTATCGGTTCCCTTCCAGAGAGCGTGGCAGAGGGCTTCGCTTCGTCGTGTTTGCCTCTGGCCCTGACAAACTCCGCAGAAAGAAGTTGTTAGAGGACAGGCCGTGTCCGGCTCCTGGGCTGGGCTCAGGCCGCTCAGCATCTGTGGCGCTGCAGGCCGCGAGCCTGGGACACCTCGGCAGGTGTCAAAGGTCCTACCCCGCCGCCACCCCTGATGATACCCCTGTGCTCACCAGAGAAAACCCTAGTGTGAATCAACAGCACGTATTGATGAGAGAACTGGAAGCGAGGAAATAGATGACCAGAAATAGGAAGGCGAGGACTACCCCATAATCCAGTGAGCTGTGAGTCTAGATGGCCAGAATCATTAAACTACTTTGTTTACAAGGGGATTTGTATTCCATCTATTGGATTTTTCATGTAGTTGTTAAATACATTTTTAAAACGTGATATGCATTTCTAAATTCAGAAAATCAAACGAGTTTAATTTTTAAGGATGGGCTAGTTTCTAGTAGTCTTCCATTCCTTATAATTATTTTGGTTAAGTTACTGCAATTTATGATTTTGTTAAAAAAATTTTTTTTGAAAGATTAAGATCTTCCTTCTGCTGGTTCACTCCCAAATGCCTGCAATAGCAAGAGCCTGGCCAGGCTGAAGCCGGAAGCCAGGAGCTCAATCCAGGTCGCCTTCATGGGTAGCATGGACCCAACTACTTGAGCCATCACTGTTGCCTCCCAGCGTGTGCGTTAGCTGGAAGCTGGCATTGGAAGTGGAGCAGGTCTCGGACGCATGCGCTCTGCTATGGGATGTAGGGGTCCCATGTGGTGTCTTAACCACCGTGCTAAATGCCTGCCCCATACATTCTATAATTTTGAAAGTCAGGCATTCTCTAAAAAATAAATTATTTGTCTGTCACTTAACATTATTTCACCCAAGTAAAGTACTTGGAAACTTTTTCATTATTTTACTTGCTAAAAGCTGTATGGTTCAGAATTATTTTTAACTGTTCTAATAAAATTTATTTTTTCGAGTCTTCATATTCTACAAACTAGAGCTCTCTTCTGGTAGCTCTTTAAGGTATCAAAGCACATCTTAGCTTTCAAGTCTGGGGGTTTACAATGAGGTCATGCTTTACCCAGTTTTATGGCTAGTTTGACACACTGAAACATAAGAAGGCCAAGTGACTCGCCCCAGGGCTTCCCGTGAGTCAGTGATGCGGCATAAAACAGAGCTAGCACTTGCTCACCAGCCCTCCTAGTAGATCATACATCAGGGAAACAGTATCTGAAACTTGTAAAAGTACTGTGTTAGAGATTTGTCTATTTCATAACACATTTTCTTGACTGCAGAGTTGGTCACAGGGTCTTCGTTATCAAATGGACTCCTTTAAGTGAATTAACATCCTAATTTACGAAGAGATTAGCGTCAGAGAAATGAGCTACAACATTATTGTGATAGCTTAAGTGATTGTGATTAGGGCTGTGCTGTGGTGTGGTGGGTGAAGCCGCCACCTGCGATGCCGGCATCCCATGTGGGCACCAGTTCAAGTCCCAGCTGCTCCATTTCTGATCCAGCTCAGGACAAATGGAAAAACGGCAATGGTTTTAAAATAACATTTACTGAACAATGACCATGCCAAGCCCTGTGCCAACTGCACTGTTTCATCCTTGACCCGTCCTGTGAGGCAGGGATCCGTGTCACCCTTAGGACACTGCGACACTAAGCAGTTCAGTGGTTTGCCGCATTTAATGATGGAACCAAAACTCTAGCCAACAGCGTAAGCACATAAGCATTATGCCATAACCATCTCCTGCAACTTAATAGTTTATTTTCCATTTAATTGGAGGGAAGCAGCAAAGATTGAGATAAGAATTTTTAAAAATTTTTTTTAATTTATTTGAAAGAGTTACAGAGAGAGGTAGAGCCAGAGAGACAGTGAGGTCTTCCATCCACTGGTTCACTCCCCAGATGGCCGCAAAGGCCAGAGCTGAGCTGATCCAAAGCCAGGAGTCAGGAGCTCCCTCTGGGTCTCCCATGCGGGTACAGGAGCCCGAGGATTTGGATCATCTTCCACTGCTTTCCCAGGCCATAGTAGAGAGCTGGATCAGCAGCAGAGCGGCCGGGACTCGAACCACTGCCCATATGGAATATAAGCATTATGCCATAACCATCTCCTGCAACTTAATAGTTTATTTTCCATTTAATTGGAGGGAAGCAGCAAAGATTGAGATAAGAATTTTTAAAAATTTTTTTTAATTTATTTGAAAGAGTTACAGAGAGAGGTAGAGCCAGAGAGACAGTGAGGTCTTCCATCCACTGGTTCACTCCCCAGATGGCCGCAAAGGCCAGAGCTGAGCTGATCCAAAGCCAGGAGTCAGGAGCTCCCTCTGGGTCTCCCATGCGGGTACAGGAGCCCGAGGATTTGGATCATCTTCCACTGCTTTCCCAGGCCATAGTAGAGAGCTGGATCAGCAGCAGAGCGGCCGGGACTCGAACCACTGCCCATATGGAATGCCAACACTGCTGGCCAGGGATTTAACCCACTGCATCATAGCACTAGCCCCTAGATTTCAGTTTTTAGGGGCAGGCGTTTGGCATAGCAGCTAAAATGTTGCTTGCCATGTCTACCCACATCCCATATGGGAGTGTCTGGGTTCAGGTCCCAGGCCTGTTCCCAATTCCAGCTTCCTGCCCATGCACACCCGGGGAGGCAATGGTGATGACTCAGTAGCTGGGTCCCTGCCACCCACATGGGAGACCCGGATTGAGTTCCTGGCTCCTAACTTTGGCCTGGCCCAGCCGCAGCTGTTGCAGACATTTGGGAAATGAATCAACGGATGGTAGTTCTCTTTCTCTCTCAAATAAATAAAAATTTAAAAAGCAAAGCTGATAATTTCTTTTTAAAAAAATTATTTTAAAGTTAAAATAATATCACAAGAATCTAGTGATGGTTTTACCTCCCACACAAAGAACAGGAAATCAAGGAAAACCCAAAGCAAAACCTTTGCTTTGTGGTGCATTCTGGCTGGCGCAGATAGTGCTCATTTTGCCTCTGAGGCCTAGAGCAGTAAAGAGAATTGCTGTCAGTCATTCAGCAGGTGACTGAACTGTCAGTGAAGGAGATGACTGATAGCTCCCCATCCCAGTCCTGTTCCATTAATATTCATTTGTTGTACCCTACATTCATCTAGACACCATGAACACAGCAAATCTAATAATATATGTGTATTAGTATATATATGAGTGCGTGTGAAATCTCTTTTCATTCTTTTTAAGATTTATTTTATTTATTCGAGAGGCAGAGAAAGAGAAGGATCTTCCATCCACTGGTTTACTCCCCAAACAGCCAAAACAGCCAAGGCTGGGCCAGGTCGAAGTCAGGAGCCAGGAGCTTCATCTGGATCTCCCATGTGGATGCAGGGGCCATCCTCTGCTGCTTTCCCAGGTAAATCAGCAAGGAGCTGGATTGGAAATGGAGTAGCCAGGATTTGAACCAGTGCCCATATGGATTGCAGGCACTGCAGGTGGTGGGTTAATCCACTGTGCCACAATGCAGGCCTCCTTTTCATTCTTTTGAGAAAATGCGTTTGTGTGTGTGTGTGTGTGTATGAGAGAGAGAGAGAATATGAGTTAATTAGATGGTAAATAACCATCCTAAATGCATTCAGAGCGTGCAACTATAGTCAGTATATCTTCATGGTCATATTATCAGTGAAGATTTTCCTTAAAGAATTTGCAGTTTCAAACTGATGCACCTATCCTGAGCTATCTTGTAGGAAAAACAAACAAAACTTGTTTCCTATCTCTCCACTAACACCAACCCCCTCCTCTGCCCGTGGTCCCTCAGTGCACTGATCAGTGCCCACGCTCTGGGATTCGCTGCCTCACTCATCATCCCCAGTCACCAAAACAGGTTCTTGCTGTTTGTATGTCCTCATAGAAGTACACTTTATTAAAATGCATGTCGGCTTATCATAAAACCTTTATCATCTCTATGAATAAACAAATGCCTCATTATTTTTCCATTTGGAATTTTGCTAATATCTTTTGTGGTTGTTCTCATTATCTTCATGGACAGTTCTTATGGGTAAGGAGTACAGGAAGCATTCTTACTTACATTTCAATTGGAAAATATGCTACCATAAGAACATGATAAGTAAATGTTGGGCCATGACTACTCACCATGAGAAAAACA